TCACTTGGTAGCCCAGGCTGGCCTCGAACTCACAGAGATCCGCCTGGCTCTGCCTCCCGAGTGCTGGGATTAAAGGCGTGCGCCACCAACGCCCAAAACCATTCTTAATAGGCAGGTTGTGGGTTGGGTTGGGTTGGGTTGGGTTGGGTGTGGTGTGTTAGCCAACCTTGTTCTTGTTTCCTCGTGACTGATCGGTCTTTTTGCAAATCTTGTATTTGATGGATTTCCTGTATAAGAATAAGATTTGGGCAGTTCATTTGGAGTGGGTAAATCCACTTGATTCATAAGTTAGAACTGTAACTGCAGTTTGCAGGCATTTATGGCAAACCGTGTTTGCTTTGATTTTCTTCTGATAGAGTCTTAGGCAACCCAGTAGGACCTTGACTTTTTTGTCCTATAACTTTTGTCCTATAACTTTGGAGTTGTGAGGCTGTAAAAAATACACTTTAAAAAGTTTGATTTATTTTTTAAAGGGTTTACAAATAAATGAGCAGCGGCTATTTTATTAGAAGATTGTAGATAACACTGATGATGTGACTTTGTGCCCCTAAACAAGGAACAGCCTTTCCCCATTCTCTTTGGGAATATAAAAAGGAAAACTGCCCTGTTTCCTTTCCTTTTTTTGACATTATCTTCTGGTACTGTTTGTGCTTGTCAACTGATTAGGATAAAATGATATGGGTTTTGTTTTGTTTTGGGCCCTTTTCCCCAAATCTGAAAACCAAAGCAATGTGATGTCTTAAGGTTTCTCTCTATTGACTTTTCTGGACTGGTTTTCTGTTGCTTGTTGCCATCTTTACTTTGACTTCCTAATCAGAGCTAGCTCAGCATTGTATTTAAATTAGGCAGCTGCTTAAATACCTCTGCTCTCTGCCAGGGGGCCTTTATAGGTCCCTTCCTGCCTCCCATCACAGATGAGGAAGATCACTTGCTTGTGTGACTTGCAATCTGTCTTAGGAGTTGCATTTTTTTAATTTGTTTTATCATTCATGTTGTGTACTGTGAAACTTCTGTGCTGTGGAAAAGGCTGTGCTGCTCTGGAGACCTCTGCCTTGTTTCTTCTCAGTGGAGCTGTATCATTGGTCTGTCTGTCAGTGTGTCATCACTACTCACCCCCCCCCCCCCAGGTATCTCTCAAGTGAGGTGTGTGAATCTGGGTCATGTGAACTGAACAGCTGCTGTTTGTTCTTCCTTGGCTCTCAGTCTTCTTGCTGCTCAAGATTGTGAACAGATTGTCATGTGTCCTTGAGAGCATGTAAAGGCATTATAAACTGAGGAGATGACTTTGGTAATACTTGATGCTTGACAGGATTGCTTTCTGAAACTTGTTCCCTAAGAATTCTTGAACTTTCTTAACGAGCTTGCATGCTGGGCAGTCAGACTCAGTGCTGAGCATCTGTTATGTGAAGTGGAAACTCCTCTGAACAGCCTATTGTGCACAGCGTGCTTTTTAGCCTCTCATTCTTGGGTCAGTCACTGTAACTAAGAGTGTGAGTCAAGTTTGCCTCTATCATTTCTCTATTTGTATTTTTGTTTTATTATTTGATTTTTTTTCCCTTAAGGCAAGGTTTCTCTATGTAGCTCTGGCTGCCCTGGGACTCACTGTAGACCAGGCTGGCCTCATACTCAGAGATCTGCCTGCCTTTGTCTCTCAAGTGCTGGGATTAAAAGCTTGTGTCACCACGCCTGGCTAATTTTTCTACTTTTAAAGAAATGGTTTTGAGGTAACTGTTCAGGAGAGCTTTGGGTGTGGGTGAATGTAGCAAAACATATAGCTAAAAAAGTAGATCTGCTTACATAGCTAGGACCTTCCTCTCCCTTGTGCTTGTAAGAACATGTAGGTATCGGTGAGCTTTTCTATGGTAGTCATAAGAGGATGCACTTGACTGGGTGGGTGTTGAAGCTGTAGTTGACGGAGAGCTTTTGTTTAGGAACATGCGACCTTGTGCCTCACTACTCTGGAGGAGTCTCTGTGAGCCCTTCTGAGGCTAGCAGACTTTTGAGTGGTTCGGTTGTTGCTAAAGCTTGTGCTGAGTGACTGTATCTTGTTATTTATTACCTACTGGTAAGTAGTGGCCTTTGAGACCTCTTTCACATTCCATGTATAACAAATGCCTTTGGCTCTGTGACTTGAAGAACAAGCATTTCATGGTTGTGGGCATGGAGACTAAGTTGAGGAAAGACTATATGAAATGCTGTTGACTGTCAGTTGTTTCTCATAGTGACGTAGGATAGTAAGTTTGTCTAATTCCTCAATAATTAAGTTCTAAAATTTAGTTCTTGAATTTTATGGATTCAGATTCCCTCCCTCTTATAATAAGGGGAGTTCTGGTTAGGCCTCATTAGTTATTTGTTGCTGAAGATGGCAGTTCTATGAAGAATGCATTCTGCATTCTTTTTTTTTTTTTTTTTTGGTTTTTCAAGACAGGGTTTCTCTGTGTAGCTTTGTGCCTTTCCTGGAACTCACTTGGTAGCCCAGGCTGGCCTCGAACTCACAGAGAT